AACTACTGAGCCATCTCTCCAGCCCCATGAAATTTCTTATATTAGAAAAAAGATAGTGCACTACTGCCATCAGATAGCAACAGGCATGAGATTCGCCAATTAACTATCAGAGTAGAAGGACCAATGAAGGCAAATCTAAAAAAAAAAAAAAAAAAAAATTGTCCTTTTTGAGACAGGGTCTCCCTGTAGTCCCAGCTGGCCTGGAATTCACCATGTAAACCAGGCTTCAAAAAACATTGTGATGTCTTTTTATTTCCCATTCATTTCATTTAATTGTGGGTGAGTCATTTATAAAGTACATAATTTCTGTGTACAAATTCTCAAGTTTCTAGTTGTCTATGATGAAATTTCTTTCACGCAATACAAAAATTAGGCTGGAAGTAATGCTATAGGCCTGTATCCTAGCACTCTGGAGTAGGAAATTGCTTTAGCACTCAAAGCTAGCCTGGAATACATAGTGAAATCTTATCTCAAAAACGACAATAACAACAAACACCCCCACAAATTATATAAAAGTAGGTGATGCAAGACTATTCAGAACTGGGAAGAATAATTAGGAAATCATTTTAAAAACTACATTTTAGGGGGCTAGAAAGATGGCTCAGCAGTTAAGAGCACTGGTTGCTCTTGCAGATGACCCAGGTTTGGTTCCCAGCACCCACATGGCAGCTAACAACCATCCTTAACTCTAGTTCCAGGGAAATTCAATACCTTCTTCTAACCTCTGTGGGCATTATACAACATGGATGCACTACAGGATGCAGGCAATACACTCATACACAAAATAGAAATAATAAATATTTTAAAAACTACATTTTATATTTCAAAACTCAACACTACATTTGAGAGAGAGGATACGTAAAATAACAAAGGATGATTGATTCCTCACCAAAGGAGAAAAGGGATATTGGTTTGTAGATTTCCTAATAGCACTTCCATGTAAAGTGGATCCTTTAATCACTATCATCAGTATCATGAACATTGCATTATTGTGCTGCTCAACTGTATTGCCCAGGCTGACCCGGTGATCCTCCTGCCTCAGCTTCCAGAGTAGCTGAGTCACAGGTCATGATATGTTCTTCTTTCTTATGCCTCTTCTAGTGCTAAAAATGGAACTTAGGACCTCTCAAATGCTAAACAAGCACTGAAGGTCATCCCCCACCTGTGATAACCCTTGAACACTGTGAGATGTAGAGGGAAAAATGCTTGATTTGTTTAAATTACTGCACATTACAGGGAAAGTATGAGTTTGCAGCATAAGCTTATGAAAAAAATCTGTTCATTCATGTTATCATAGTTACCCAAATATGAGTTTACAAAAGAGGTCAGAAAAATTGTGTGGCGCTGGTCATGGCAATGCATACTTGTAATATCAGCTTTTAAGAAACTGAGGTTGGAGGACAAAGATTTCAAGGCCAGCCTATGCTAAATGGTAAGATCCTATATTTTAAAAAAAACAGAAAAAGAAACTTATGTTGCACAAAGTAAGGTTATGATAATAAATGAGCGAAGAGTGATGAATTATAGCTGTCAAAATGCCAAATCTAAACACACAGTGACAGTTCTATGACAAGCTGTAATACAAATCCCCATCATGGGCCCCTGGAGGCTGTTCAGAACCACATTGATTCAGATTCCTAGACGCCCTGTCAGGATTACCGTGATTTTTTTTTTTAATGGTAACATGTATTTCTTATCATGACTCATAGCATGAGAGGAAATAGATGCTTCACATTGTTCTTGATTTTATTTAATTGTTTTGCTGTTAACAACCACTGTTCTTAAATGATAAAATTAAACTGTTTAAAGTTTCCTAAGAGAACTTCTAGCAAATGGTTAAAATAAAGATTTTAACCCCTATGCAATGAATCTGAAAATACCTAATGTGGCTATATAATTAATCTTGAGAAGTAGGAGTCTTTCATTTTCTGCTTACTGATTTTACTCAAATAAATTAAACAGCAACTAACTGATGTTGAAATGTCAAGGCTAAAATGTCACAGAAACATCAAGTTTAGTCAAGTTCCTCTTGTTCCAAGTACTCTAATGATAGAGTCTTTAAAGACATGGCTGTGACCTTACATTACAGAGCTTCATGGCTACAACCTTAATATTTCCTGTCACAGTCTTTGAATCGATCCTCATGCCCACGCAGTACAGTCAGTTTCCATTTCATTCTTGAATTCACACAGGTAGTAAGTAGATGGGTATGTGCTCAGTCCATCCTTCTCATTGTGCTATGTTTCTTATTTCCTTTGAAATTAAATGCTTCTTTACCCCCTGCCCTTCATTGCTTTAATAACTCAAAGCACTGGAAAGAGTCAAGAAACTGGCTCCCTGACTATGCAGTTACTTCTCCACACTTCAGTTCCTTTCCTTGAAATGAGAATCATCCTGTCTGGCCCAACTCCACAGATGGCCAGAATTTAATTTAAAAAAATAAATAAATAAAAAAGTACTATCTGGGAGAGTACTTCAAATATTTTAGAAGAAAAGCCTAAGAACATTGTAACTTTTAAAACACACATGGTAAAGCCGGGCGTGGTGGTGCACGCCTTTAATCCCAGCACAGAGGCAGAGGCAGACGGATCTCTGTGAGTTCAAGGTCAGCCTGGTCTACATAGTGAGTTCCAGGCCAGCTGGGGCTACAGGGAGACCCTGTCTCAAAAAAGACCAAAAAAACCAAACCAAAACAAACCACATGGTGAAAAAGAAATCAAATGCAGAAAGTAAACAACAGAAGAAATCAGTTCTCTCTCTCTCTCTCTCTACCAGTTAACCTCAGAGTATCTTTCAGTTCCATTGTGATTGAAGTGTGTATGCATCTTGTGAAATGCTACAGCATTCTTAGGACCCATATTTGCAAGGAAACATACAGGATGTAATTCACCACTGAGAAGCAAATTTGTACATCTCTGGCTTTCCTCAGTGGGTCTATAAACTCTGCTATTTGATGTGAGTACAAAGCCTCATTTGTTTTGGCCCAAATATTCAGTTGTGTGGGTAGACTCATTCTATCAAGGAATGTATCAGAGTTCCCATCTGCTGACTCTACAGCAGGGGGCATCTAACAATTTGCCTCTCCCCAAAATAGTGTGAAGCACTTCTACCTAAAAATAAATTGTATTCACCTACCAAAAATGTACTGAAGGGGCTGCAGAGATGGCTCAGAGATTAACAGCACCGGCTGCTCTTGCAGAGGACCTAGGTTTGGTTCCCAGCACCCACACGGCAGCTAACAACCATCTGTTAACTGCAGTTCCAGGGGATCAAAATCCCTCCCCAGGTGCACATACATACATGCAGGCAAAACATTTGTATACATAAAATAAATCTCTTTAAAAAGAAAGAAGGACCAGGTGTGGTGGTGCATGCCTTTAATCCCAGCACCCAGGAGGCAGAGGCAGGCAGATCTCTGTGAGTTCAAAGCCAGCCTGGTCTACATAGTGAGTTCCAGGACAGCTGGGACTACAGAGAGACCCTGTCTCAAGAAAGAAAGAAAGAAAGAAAGAAAGAAAGAAAGAAAAAAAGAAAGAAAACAAGAAAGAAAGAAAGAAAGAAAGAAAGAAAGAAAGAAAGAAAGAAAGAAAGAAAGAAAGAAAGAAAGAAAGAAAGAAAGAAAGAAAGAAAGAAAGAAAGAAAGAAAGAAAGAAAGAAAGAAAGAAAGAAAGAAAGAAAGAAAGAAAGAAAGAAAGAAAGAAAGAAAGAAAGAAGAAAAGAAAGAAAACATTTCTAGTCTTTTCCCAGTCTGATCTCAATTGCTTAAATAAGGAAGGAAAGGAGGAGCTATGACCCAGACAGGTTAAACCACAAAATGGTCAAATGGAATGGGGGAACACAGAAATTGGGAGAAGGGGTAGGGGAGGACACCATTCAGAAGGAAACAAAGACAAAATGTCTGTAGAACATTTAGGAAGAATTCACTTGATTTTCATGAATCAGAATAAAATAGATAATAGCCTTGTGGGAAGGAAAAAAGAATTTGGTGAAAGCTGAATTAATAAAGACTTAGAAAGGAAGCAAAAATGGTATTTCATTTTATTTTGTTTCACCTTCACCAAGTACCAGGACACCTTGGTCAAAGAATGGAACTTAATATCATTGTTTCAAAGAGTTGCTGAGTATGTTACTAGGACAAGAGGATATGAAAATATTCTGTCTATGCACTCTTCATTCTCAAACTGTGAGCTCAAAGCCTCTTGAATTATGTTTAATGATATTTCTCATATAATATTTTCTTGAACAACAAAGTGCACTTATTTTCATTGTTTTCTTGTTTCTGGAAAAAAACAAAAACAAAAACAACCTACCTCAATGAGAAGTTGAACATCTAAGATTGCCTGTGTGAGAATAATAAGTTATTAGCTTTCTTGGTAACTACCACCAAAGAGACCTAATCAAAGCAGAAATGTACTGAAAACAACCACATTTTGTTAATCTCTTTAAAATTATATATTGATGCTTAACGTAGCACCATAGAAGATATTAAAAAGCACAAGCATTCACCCATTGGTGTTTTGTTAGTTAATAGAGTGCTGATGTCATTACAGGGCAAATAGCCTCTGGAAATTTCCACTGTACAACTCCTGAGAGAATGAAAGTGAAAGGGGCGAAATCACGTCTTGCAATCTTCATGGCAACAGTTTTGACCACTGAGACGTCTTGAAAGGGTTTCAGAGATATCCCAGGTCTAGTGAACCCCATCTAAGAACTAATGTAATTGATTCATTTTTAGGTCACGTCTCAGTCCAAATCACTAACAAAATATGTTTTCTCTGGTGAATTCTTTGTTCTCACCCCTCTGAGAACAGATGGTCGAATGTAACCAGGGGACCCCAAGCTTAGTGCTACTGAGTTGGAGTGGGGGACCCCACGCGCCTAGGGCGCTTTGCTTAGTGATGAGAACTGAACAGCTTTGGAGATCGCAGAGACCGAGGGGTCTAGAAAGCAGCCCCACCCCGGCCATCCATGCGCTAAGGCGGGGCCACAGGCAGCCCGGGTTGCGCAAGGCAGGGGACAGTCGCCGGCGGTGGAGCGCAGCCCGAGCTCCGGGGAGACGCCGGGCAGGCTGGCGGGCGCAGGTGAGCCGCCTCCGGGAGGAGGAGCGCCTCCAGGTGACAACCGGGAGCCGCCCTCCTGCCTGTCCCACTGCGGAGTCGGCCGCCTTGCGGAACTCAGCAGGATCCCGCGCAGCGTATGTGCTCCGGGCGCCCTCCCGCGACCCTCGGCGCCTCCTCTGACGCTGGTGTCCCTCGGGCGCGGTGTAGAGCCGGGCTCCGGGTGTCACCGAAATCTGGAGACAGCGCCGGAGACGCAGGGCCTGGCGGCCTCGAGGTCAAACAGACAACAGGCCTTGGCTAGGGTCCGATCTATCCTCAGCAGAGTCCTGGCAAGCAGCATTTGTCCCCAGGCTCTCTCAGAGGGCCACCTGCCCAAGCGCGCGTCCAGTCCGCTGGGGGCGCAATGGTGCGGTGACTTTGGGTACAACAGGTTGGTGACTCAGTTTCCACCGAAACCCAAAGTGCTGAGACAGGGCTTTTCTTTTCTTTTTTTTTTTTTAAATGTGTTTTTTAATTGTTATTTTTTGTTTGTCTGACAGTTGCTGGACTATGCTTACACTCTTGTTTGTACTCAGCCAACTGCCCAGACTTACCTTCGGGTTTCCTCATTGCACAAGAAGTCTGAAGGATTCCGGACATGCGGAAGAAGAAGGTAAGCTTCGCTGCCGGGAGGAAACTCACCTAGAAACTGGAGAGGGCTATTATAGATCTCCACAAAAAAGTGTGGTGTGAAGGAATCACATGCCCGGGTGAACCATAGAGCACTAAAAAAATCCTCTGGTTTAATTTGTGGCTTACTTGTTAACGTTGTGGGTTGTTATGTTCTTTAACTGCAATGTATACAACTTATCTTTGCGCTTCCTTTGATAACGGATGTTTAAGACCTGGTTTGTGGTTAACTGAATTGAAGGCCTATTTTGAAGTCCATAAATCAGTGAATTAGTTTTCCTAGATGAAGCTATGTGGTGGTTATAAAGAGGGCAACTGCTTCTTGGAAAGTCCAGGGTGGTGTCAGGACTTGTTTTGGCGCTGATGGGAATCCCGAGATAGTCAAGTGCTCTACCACTAAGCGATATCTCATACCTGAGTCCCTTGGTCTGGACTTGGTGAGATCCAGAGCAAGGTATTCTCTTCCCTTAGGCTTAAATACCTTCCTCTGTAAAATGATGGGGTGAGGAGGAGGAAGATGTCTCTGATTCTTTTTTCAAACATCTAGCTGTCTGGATAAAGGCAGATGGCTGAGAGATTAGATGTGTGGCTTAGTAAAATACTCAGTTACAGATCATAAACAGATCTGTTCCTGCTTCCATTTAAAAAGCCTAACCTAGTAAAACCAGAAAGAAAAAAAGTGCCCCAGGCTCTCAGCATCCTTCTCCCTGCCTAGTCACTGTGCCTGGCCTCTCAGTGCCAGCACTTTGAATCTACTTCTCCACACACTCAAGTCCATTGTTTCTTCCTAGAAGAGCTGATTCTCAGTTCATTTTCACTTGAGAAGGATCTGTTACTAATACTCCTGACTGGCTTATTAATAATTAATACAGTCTTGTGTGTGCGTGCATGCGTGCGTGTGTGTGTGTGTGTGTGTGTGTGTTTTAGGAAAAGGGAAATACTTAAACCTAAAGGAATCCAATTCTGATGGTAACTGGGTTGGCAAATTTGTGAGACAGAAAGAGGTTTTAGAATGAAAGCGATCCATCCTTCTTGGTGCCTCCCAAGTCACCCAATACCTCTAAGTCCATCTGTGGTGATGGTCCACACTCAGTAGGACCAGATACTACTTTCCAGGATGATTTTGAGTGTATTCATCTTCCAGGCCAGTTTGGGATATATAGCAATAACCTGTTCAACAAAACAAAACAAACACATTGGCGAGGGAGCAGCTTTATTGAGTCTCAAGCTGAGGTGGAAGGGTATGTAGAAGTCAGATGATGGACTTGAACAGAGGACTGTCCATGAAAAATTTGACACTGCTTCTTTGCTTTATTTTGCTTTGCTTTGTTAGAATAAGATCTCACTCTATAACCCAGGCTAGCTGGCACTCATGGTGATCCCCTGCCTCAGCCTCCTGAGTGTTGGGTTGCAGATATGAGTCGCCATGCTGGGTTGGCACTGTCTCCTTAGCCACTAAAATGTAAAGATTCAGGCCTACTGCTGAGGAGAAGTAGCAATACACAGGCACACATGCAGTACATAACAGCTGAGTTGGGCAGGCTCTGAATGTTTGGTTACTGTTTTACCACTTTAAAACTATGCCAAGTTGAGTTACATTAGTTTTTTTGTTTTGTCTTTTTTTTTTTTTTGAGACAGGGTCTCCCTGTAGCCCCAGCTGTCCTGGAACTCACTATGTAGACCAGGCTGGCCTTGAACCCACAGAGATTCGCTTGCCTCTGCCTCCTGAGTGCTGGGATTAAAGGCATGCCCGGCTTTTTTTTTTTTTGTCTTTTTGAGACAGAGTTTTCCTATAGCCCCAGCTGGCCTAGAACTTGCTACGTAGAATAGCCAAGCCTCAAACTCCCAAAGATCTGCCTGCCTCTGCCTCCCGAGTGCTGGGATCAAAGGCTTGCGCCACCTTGCCCAGCCTTTGTTTCGGCTTTTTTAAATTAATTGCTTCTACTTGTAAAATTTAGGCCGAGTAAGTACTTGAGAGATGGTACAGTAGTTAAGATCACTTGATGGCACATGCTTTTACTCCTAGCATTTGGGATATCTGTGAGATAGAGGCCACCCTGGTCTGCATAGCCAGTTCCGAGTCAGCCAGGGCTACATAATGAGACCCTATCTAAAAAATAAAAAAAAAAAAAAAAATTGGGCTGAGAAAAAAATGGCCCAGCAGTGAAGAACACTGACTACTCTTGCAGAAGGCCTGAATTCTGTTCCTAGCACCCACAACTAACAACTGTCCTTAACTCCTGTTCCAGGGGAATCTGATGTCCTCTTCTGGCCTCTGTGGGCATTGCAGGACATAAGTGCACTTACACATATGCAGGCAATACACTCATACACATAAAATAAAATTTTTAAAATAGTTTTTTTTTTTAAAAAGACCACTTTCTGGGCAATCATGAGGACTGGAGTTCAGCCTAGCAGAGACAGGAAGTTATCTGGGGGTTGTTGGTTTTCAGCATAGCCATGAAAACTTGAGTCGGATTAGGGAGAGATCCTACCTCAAAGGAACAGACAGAAAATGATAGAGGGCACCCAATGCCCTCTTCTGGCCTCTCTGCACAGTTATCTGGATAGACATGTGCACATACACTCAAACATAAATAAGTAAATAAATGTAGCATGGTGGTGCACGCCTTTAATCCCAGCACTTGGGAGGCAGAGGCAAACGGATCTCTGTGAGTTCAAGGCCAGCCTGGTCTACATAGTGAGTTCCAGGCCAGCTGGGGCTACAGGGAGACCCTGTCTCAAAAAGACCAAAAAAAAAAAATTTAGGTTTGAAAATGTTTTCCCACAGGAAACTAAAGTTTGTTCATGCCGTAATTTAAAATTTTTATTTATCTATTTATTAGTTTATGTATATGAGTGTATTGCCTGCATGTGTGTAAATGCACCCATGTCATGCAGTGCTCAAAGGTCAGAAGAGGGCATCAAATTCCCCTGGAACTGGAGTTATGGATGGAGTTATGCCACCATGTGGGTGCTGGGAATCGAACCCAGGTCCTCTACAAAAGCAGCCAGCACTATTAACTGCTGAGCCAATTCTCCAGTTCCCTGTGTCATAATTTTTTGAGCACCTCTTCGGTGCAAACAGCCAACATCTCTCTTTTTGTGGCTCTTTCCTTCTAACGAAAAGAACATTGTGGTAACAGATAAGTGATGCATGTGAAACACAAGTTGGAACTAAATGCTGTGAGGAAAAGCAGAACGTGACAGAGAGTGCTTGTGCTGGGTAGATAGGATGGGGTCAAGGTAACCTTGAACCAAATCCTGAAGAAGGTAGAAGGGCAGACTGAAAGAAGAACACTCCACTCCAAAGAAACAGCAAGTACACAGGGGAGGTGGTGGGAGGACCAAGTGTGGGGGAAGCCTGAACAGCAGAGCTATAGCAGAATACATGAGGGAATATGGGAGGAGACCAGTCCAGAGAGGAGGCTTGGAGACTGTGTCCAGTAGGGCCTTTGGTCACTGCAAGGGCTTCGCCTTTCATTCTGAGGGAGGTGAAACTGCCATTAGAAGGTTTGTTTGTTGGGTTTTTTTAATATAATATTTCTATTAATTCTTTGATAATGCTATTAGTTGGTTTAAAAAAGGCAAAGTAGGAAGAAAGTATCTTTTAAAAGGCTTTCTCTGGAGGGGCATACCTGTACACACCTTTAATCTCAGCTTTCCAGAGGCAGAGGCAGGCAGATCTCTATGAGATCAAGGCCAGCCTGGTATACATAGCAAGTTCCACACCAGCCAGGGTTACAGGGAGACCCTGCCTCAAAAACACCATTTAAAAAATGGCTTTCTTTGGGACCAATGAAACGACTCAGTGGGTAACAGCGTTTGCTTAAGCTAAGCCTAAGGACCTGAGTTGGATCCCTGGGCCCACATGGTGGAAGGAGAGAACAGACTCCCATATGTTGTCCTCTGACCTCATGACAATGTGTGGGTCATGGCACAAGCACGCACACACACACACACACACATGCACATGCATGCATGCATGCATGCATATGCACACAGACAAATAAATAAATGTAATCAATTTTTAAGGCTCTCTCTGGCTGTTGTGTTAACAGCAGATGTAGAGGAAGACAAGACCACTTGAAGGCCATTGTGCCCAGTGAGGGATGATAGAGGCTCTGGAAGATTCTCACTCTACCTCCATTGGATAGAAGCATAGAATTTAGAAGAAGACAAAGGAAAAAGAACAGAAATATTTAAGCATCTGGCCCCTCTATCTGCCTTTTGAGATAGAGCAGCTATTGTCAGTTATTCCATTGTAGTGTACCCTTTGATTCCAATATCCTATATGTTATTTACAACAAAGAAGCTGACACACGAGGGCTGGGGTTGTTCCTTTATGATAGAGGACTAGTTTAGCATGTAAAAGGCTCTGGGTTCAATCTCCAGCACTACTGGAAAAAAGGAAAAAGAAATTGACATGCTGGAATAGTGCTAATAAAAGAAATACATGAATCATATAATAATTTAAAATTTAATGGGGCATTTTTTTAAAGTAAAAAGGGAACTGGAGAGATGGCTCAGCAGTTAGGAGCACTAGCTATTCTTGCAGAAGACCTGGGTGCAAATCTCAGCACCTACATGGCAGCTAACAACTGTCCATAAATCCAGTTCCAGGGAATTTGGTGCACTCTTCTGTCCTCTGTGGACATTGCACAACACAGGCATACTTTACATGCATGCAGGCAATACATGGCCTACACATAAAATAAAAATAATAAATAATTTTAAAAATTTAAGTAAAAAGAAGCCAGGCATGGTGATACATGCCTTTAATCCCAGCACTTGAGAAACAGAGGCAGACAGATCTCTGTGACTTTGAGGCCAATCTGGTCTCTAGTGAGTTTCAGGCCATCCAGAGCTACATAGTGAGATTCTGTCCCCCAAATAAATAAATAGATAGCAAAAAAAAATAGGTGAAATATATTTTAATAATGTTTTAAATTTTACTAATAAATTATTATTCAAAGTATAAGCAATATAAAATTATACTGAGTACTTTCACATATTTTCACATATGAAATCTTGGATGTATTTTAGAAGTCCAATGTGCTATCCATTGCACCACAGAGCCCTTGTATGTATTTTATATCTTGATTCAGATTTGCCACTTCTCAGGTGCTCAGAAGCCATGTATGACCAGTGGTCACTTCATTGGACAAGACAGATCTAGAAAATTCAAACCTATTTAGAAAGATACTTAATTTGTAGAAAAAACTCTTGGACAAGGTGTGGCTGTTGTCAAGTGGCTAAGAATAATAGGCAGCCTGTGGTTACAAAACTCACAAACCAGGCTGGAGAGATAACTCAGCGGTTAAGATCACTCTTAACCGGTTAAATTGCCAGCACTCACATGGTGGCTAACCAGTTCCAGTTCCAGGGGATCAGATGCCCTCTTCTGACCTCCACGGGCATTGCATGACACGGGTGCACTTACATACATGCAGGCAATACACTCATACGTACAAAATATTTTTTTAAACTCACAAATCATTTCTCTCCCACCCCACAAACACTGGGTCTTGTTACTTAGCCCAGACTGGCTTCCATTGTGAACACCTATTTGGAGGGTGGGAAGAATGGGTGAAGAGAGCTGGCCCTTTGGGTGGGACTGCTTTAAATTAATCTTATAACATTTTTGTTTTTGAGACAGGGTCTTATAAATTTAAAAGTTTAGAATTTTATGTTTTAATGTAAGCTTGAACATAAAATCTTTAATGTAAAAATGTTTTTGGACCCAGGGAATGACTCAGTGGGTAAGAGCACTTGCTATGTAAGCATGGCAACCTCAGTTTGGATCCTCACAACCCATGTAAAAACCAGAAGTGGCTGTGCATGTACCTGTAACCCAGCACTGGGAGATGGCAACAGGTGGATCCTGGGAGTTTTGGAGCACCATGATCATCTAGCGAGCCCAAACTATGAGCTTCGGGTTTAGTGAAGGAATGAGGTAGAGAATGATAGAGCAGGACACCTGTCCTCCTCTGGCCTCCGCATGGATAGGCAAACTCACACACATGTGTACACACATTATAAACACACATACACAACCTCCCCAAAGTGTCCTAAATTATAATTAAGGCCTGGATTTGAACCCAGCACTAAAGGAAAGGAAAGAAAGGAGGGAGGAAGGAGGGAAGGGAGGAACTGGGGAGGGAGGGAGGGACTAATCAGGAAACCTTTGTAAACATTACTCTCATCTGTTATTTACTGGAAAAATAATCATCTGGAAGTATAAATGGTACTTTAATCATTTTAATTAATGTTAATAATCTGGGGCATAAACAACTCAAATATTTTCTGGAATTGCCAATATTTGTAAAAACCAATTTTTACTGATGTTATTCGAGGAGACAATTTTAAAGCCACCTAAGAGAGCCTGGTACAATTTGCCCATATGAAAAGAAGACTTCACTTTTTCTCCAGTTAAAACAGGAAGTTTCTACCTTATCTTTACTTATGTTTGAAATCCTTTTTAAAATTTCTTCATCAGTCTTTACGTCAAAAGAAGAAGCAAACTTTATTATGCGCCGCCGCCGTCTGCTGTACAATAGGTTTGATTTGGAGCTCTTCACTCCTGGAGACCTAGAAAGAGAATGTTACGAGGAGCTTTGTAATTATGAAGAAGCCAGGGAGATTTTCCAGGATGAAGAGAAAACGGTAATTTGTTTGATTATGTCAGTTGTCGGGAAACTTGCTACGTTATACTTTAAGAAAGTGACACCTTCTTAAGTCATTGTAGACCTTTCTGCTTTAAACAAAATCAAGATTATATACCTGCTATCCTGTGCTGGATAGCTTCAGTTGTCAACTTGACATGACTAGGAAGAGGAAACCTCAACCGAGGAATTTCCACCACTGATTGGCTTGTAAGTATGTTTGTGTGAGGCATTTTCTTAACTGCTAATTGATGTGGTAAGGCCCAGCCAACTATGAGCAGTGCCATCCTTGAGCAATTGGTCCTACATTGTATAAGAAAACAGTCTGAGAAGAAAAAAAGGCTGTGAGCAGTGCCACCCACCCCCCATGGTCTGTACTTCAGTCCCTGCCTCCAGGTTTTTGCCTTGAGTTCCTGCCTTGGCTTCTCTCAATGATAAGCTATGATTCAGACATGTAGCCAAATAAACCATTTCCTCCCCAAGTTGGTTTTGGTCAGAATGTTTTATCACAGCAATAGAAGCAAACTAGAGCATGCCTCTTTCTACTCGTTAAAATGCTGTTAGCCTATTTAAACTTAGCTTTGTATTTAATTGGCTGGATTTGTAATATTAGTAAATTATGTGCTATGATTTTATGTTTAATGTTTATTATGTTCAAACTTAATCTCAAGGTAGAGTTCATTTGCATTCACGATGTTGTTTAAAGATGATGATAACCCAAAGGCAAAGCACTTGCCTACTAAGCTTAAGACCCTAGGTTCCATCTCTAGTAAACCCGCCTGTCCCCATAGGAAAAAAAAAAAAAAAAAAGTACACTATTTGAGTTAATACTCTGTCTGACCTGATCATCAATCATTTAAGACTCAGCAATTTTTCCTTTTGGTGATCTTACCTTTTTTGATTGTCTATGGGTTTTGTTTTTGTTTCTGTTTTTAGACAGGGTCTCACTATGCAGCACTAGCTGGCCTAGAACTCACTATGTAGACCAGGCTGACCTCAAAGTCACAGAGATCCACCTGTCCCTGCCTCCTGAGTACTAGAATTAAAGGCATGTATCACCACGCCTGACTATTGCCTATATTTATATTTTAAATACTTACTGACAGCCTCTTCAGGTTCTCTGCTGGTACTGAGGATGTTATGCAGTTTTTTTAAACATTTATTTTTATTTTTTATTTATATGTATTTGTCTTCATATAGCTGAATGCATGTGTACATGCACTTGTGTATAGGTGTGGGCACCTGTGCACAGTGGGCCAAGAGAAGATGTCGGATTCCTTGGAGCTGGAGTTATAGGCATTTGCTGGATGTCCAGTTTGTTATGTGGATGCTGGGATCTGAATTCTGGTCCTCATGATTATATAGAAAGCATTTTCAACCATTGAGCCATCTCTCCAACCACTGGCACTGAAGATGTAAAGCATTTCCACACTCTGGACTTCATTGTTTTGTCTGCCAATGTAAATATAAGGGAGAATTTTTTAAATTATATTTTTTAACCCTGCTCTTTTTTTTTTTTTTTTTGAGACAGGGTCTTACTATGTGCTCTGAATGGCCTGGAACTCACAGAGCTCCACCTGCTTCTGCCTCCCCAGTGCTGGAATTAAAGGCACACACCACCATGCCTAATAGGATCCAATTGTCTCCTCCTCCTCTTCCTCCTCCTCCTCTTCCTCCTCCTCCTCTTCCTCCT